TAAAAAGAGGTGAAACGAGAGGAAAGAAAGGCGGCAGGTAGGTACTACTATTAACAATAATATATATTAATTATGTATTGGTCAGATGTAAAGGTGGACCTACAGTATGAGGTTTAATCAGATCTATTTATTAAATTGGGTTTAACTTAAAGGTAAATTAAAAGTAATCTGTTCACTGACAAAGTTTCAACTTTAATTTGTTTCAAGTCAATATTCATATTAAACTCCAAATGTAATTTTTTCCACCTTATTTGACAAGTTCTTAAAAATAATTCAATCTTTTACAGGCAACCAAATTTTGTTTTATTGGGCCAATTTCATTCCACATAGAAAGCTGACATTTCCACTCATTAAACTAAATGGGTATGCCAATGGTAAATGTCCCAAAAGATTAATAAAATGCCTTCTTGTAATTTAAAGCCACACAGTGCATGATAACATTAATAGTATTACCTTGAACAAAATCCTAGTCTTTTAGATATACTAAAAATTGAAGGTTGTTTTTTTTCAACTACAAAAGTAAACCTTGTAGGGTAGGCAAGGCGGGTTGTATAACGTGTGTGAGTTCCGGCACCTTTTTTTATATATATATAAAAGCACTGTATATGCATTATATATATTTTTACCACACACACAAAAATTGGGTGGGCTATCATAATTGGGTGGTCGTGGCTAGGAGGGCATTTGAACAACTTCAAGTTGTGCGCCAGTAACGTCCTTTTCTCACTGGAGAAGCTCTCATTTCAGTCACTCATGCCCTGTTCATCTCCTTGCTGGACAACTGCACGGGACTCCCCTTGAAGAGTATTCAAAAGTTGCATTGGCACAGAATGCAACAGAGGGACTTTGGGGTGCCCCTAGGGAGGCTCATGTAACACTTCTGCTACAACATGAGCCGCATTGGGTGCCAGTTTGCTTCCAGGTTAAATTCAAGGTATTGGTCATTACCTTTAAAGCCCTTCATGGTATAGGATCACGATATTTGAGGAACTGCCTGTCCCAATTACATTGACCCATCCCAGCCAGTCAAGCAGGGAGGGCATCTATGTAATCCATCAGTCAAGGAATTTCAACTGGCGGGATTCAGGAAGAGGGCCTTCTCAGCTTCTGCCCCTGCCTTTTGGAACATCTTACCCCCCAGAGGTGAGGAGAACCCTTACTCTTCTGGTTTTCCATGATGGCATAGAGCCATGGTGGTACAATGGTTAGAATGCAGTATTGCAGGCTAACTCTGCTCACAGCCTGGAGTTTGATCCTGAGGGCTCAAGGTTGACTCAGCCTTCCATCCTTCCAAGGTCGGTAAAATGAGGACCCAGATTGTTGGGGGCAATAGGCTGACTCTAAACACTTACAGAGGGCTATAAAGCACTGTGAAGTGGTATATAAGTCTAAGTGCTATTACTATTGCTATTTCCAGATGAGTGTTAAGACCTGGCTTTGCCAGTTAGCATGGCGGGGGACGTCTAAGAGTATGATGCCTTGTTAATCTTTTAGCCTTTTCAATTTTTAACTTTGGTTTATATTTTTACTTGTACGTTTTAAATTGTTCTTAATCCTGTTTTTAATCTATGCTTTTATTCATGTGTTTATATGGTTTCATTATGATGTTGTAAAATTCGCACTTAAGTGAAATGGGTGATGCAGAAATGGAATGAATGAATGAATAAATAAATAAATAAACAAACAAACAAATAAATCCAGCTGTAACCTAGCATAAAGAATCTGCCAAAAAGACCAGGCTGCTAAGAAGCTTTTGCAAACTGGATTGCTCCTTCCTCAATATTTCTACTTCGGGAACAATGTATATTTGTGCATGCGTCTCTAAAATTTGGTTTCTTCATTATTCTTAGCTGGGGAAGCTGACTCCCACCTTGCGCCCGAGACTTCCAGCCTAAGGCTTGTGAACAATGCAGACATCTCTGTTGGGGTGGCTGGCAATTCCTATGGTTATAGTATGCTAGAGGCCATAATCTATTATTAGTCTTCTTTAAGATATACTCAAACATAGGATATATACTATACATTTTCTAAATACCTAATGTATTACTAAAGAACCTCTGAAAAGATTCTAAAGAGCCCTGGAGTTACCCCTCAAAGACTTTCAAAACATTATTTTGGTGTGTTATATAGTTACAGTGTTGATCTTTCTAAACAGATAGAACATTTTAATTAATCTGCATAGTTGCATTTTCAAAGTTGAGAGTCTCATGAAGCTCTGCCTAAATTATAGCAGTGCTGCTGGGCTACATTTAGATTTCTTTGATCTAACAGAAATTATCACTCCTAGGATTGTTTTAAGATCACATCCTTGGTATGTTCTCATGGCCTTTTTGACGATGGTATTCTAGTTCTGCCAATATCACAGAGATTCCCAAACCATTCCTTGTATTTTGTAACCGATGATGAAAAGCAGTGACAAAAAAAGGTCAAAACTGAAAGTCAACCTAAGCCCAGCTAGATCAAATGATAGAAATAGTATCTGCATGACTGAACTAACTTCCTGAAAATAAATGAAACGTACTGAGAAGTTGTATGAGCCTCAGTTCCACTTAGTTGTTCATAAACCACTGAAATATTTCAAGCACATACTGACTATGATTAATAGCTGTAGATTGTTTAAACAAAAGGTCAGCCTTGCAATTCATCTTCACCTTTCTGCTGGACAAGCATTTAAGTTTTGCTGAGGTTGCTCATAGTGAATGCAAGGGAAAAAAATACATTTCTTCTGGCATTTCCAATCACTTCAAGGGCTTTTAACCTCTGCCTGCTTCAGACACATGGCAGTCAAGCCTCTATGACAGGCATATACAGGTAATCCTTGTTTTATGACATTTGGGATCAGAATTTCTGCTGCTAAGCAGGAAAACTAATTACATGGAACACCAATGTAAATACAACACGTTCAGAAATTACAAAAAAACTGCTGTCTAAAAAAGCCCAACAGATACTGCATTGTCCTGCATGTACATTAGAAAGCTTCTTCTTACTGTATACTCCATTATCGCATTCTTTGAGACGAAGTAGAATAACTCTTCTGCACTGAACAACCAATAGTATTTAACCGTGGAATTTGGTGGCAGGTGTTAATCTTATCCATTAGAGAGCATATCCTTTAATCTATCTATATATATATATATTATTAAAACTCTCCTGTTTGTCTGACCGTAACCTTTAATTGCACAAAACAGTGCATCATAAGGTAATAATTTTTGAATCAATGGACATCTAATGGCCTAACTTAAAGAATGTATCCAAAATCCAGGACCCGTAACTCCCTTGGGATTGAAATTTGTCAGAGTTGTGACTAACTCAGTACCGCAGACATGTCAAACACAAGGCCCAGGGGCCGGATGCGGCCCGCAAAGTGGTTTCATGTGGCCTGCGAAGCCATCCTGGAAACAGTGAGGGAACGGCCCCCGCTGCCTTGGCCCTGGCCAAGGCCGCCCGGGGGCCAATGTACAATTTTGTGGTGGCCATCTATGCTGAAACACATTCAGTCTTAGCTCCACAAGGCCGTCTAGAAACAGCGAGGAACCAGCCCCTGCCGCGTCAGCCCCGCCCCCTGGGTGCATGTTGGGGAGGTGTCACCCTTTGTGAGGAATGAAGAAGTGGACCATGCCTTGGCACTTGCCCCAGTCCCACCCCCTTCACCAGAGACCCTCAGATCTGTCCCACTCCTGCTCAGGCCCCCACAGGCACCCTTGACACGAACGATGTAGAGCTGGCAATGCCCACCCAGTAGGCCACACCCACTCCATCCACGCCCACCCAGTAGGCCGTACCCACCCTGGCCACATCCACCAGGCCCCCCGAGGACAACCGCAATGCTGATGCGGCCCTCAATGAAATTGAGTTTGACACCCTTGCAGTACCGTCATACTGCTGCACTGCTGCAGCCAGCTGTACTCATGTGATCGTAATTTTCAGCACTCCTTGCCAGCTTCTCACAAGGAAGGGAATGGGAAGTTGGCAGAAAATCAGAAGACACTCTCTGTCCTGCTGATTCTTTACCCGCCTAGGGTCATTCTGTTTCTCTGTTAGGGTAAGGAAATATCTCTGAAATATTGACCCAACAGGTTATGAGTTGTCTAGTATAAAATACATTTGTCCAGTAGAATTGTAAAAATCCACTAAAGGCTTTCCTTTAAATGGTAACCATGCAAACAATTAAGCATCTGAGCATCTAGGATCTTTAAATTGTTTAGGAAATCTGAAATATCTGCCTCAAAGAAAGATGCTATCCTATTACTGCATATTAATGTGGATCGTTCTAATTAAACCTAAAAAAGAATCTGTACATTATCTGCAAACATTTTCTAAAGTGAAAGTAAAACACAACCCATTGTTGGTCAATATAGAACCATTCTGAATAGGAAAAGACGATTAAATGATATTAAGGGGTTATACCATAAAGTAAATCTGGATTATGCACCATCATTTAAATGTGTCCACTAGTCTCCTTCCTCAGGGCCTGCTCCTTATCAAATTCCTGAGTTGTTCTCTAGGGCAATGACCAGATAAGAAGATTCTGATCTGGCTGATGTATTGCAATAGGATTCTTCAGCCTTTTTTTTTCTTTTGTTATTGACAGGCATAGAGAGGCCAGGCAGCTGGTTGCCATGGCATCCAGACTTTGTAGTGTTTGTAGAAGTGGGAGGGAAGTTTATAGAAAACACGGTGTAAAGCGAGCTGATCTGATATGAAAAGCATCACTGCCACACTCGTAAGGGGACTTTTTTTTTTGCCACCTGTGTTCTAGGATTCTGTCATCAGCAAGGGCTGATGAAGGGACACTGTTCTGGATACCATGGCAACAGCCAACTGTAGATGGAAGGAAGGCAAGGGAGAGAGAGAGAGAGAGAGAGAGAGATTGCTAACAATGAAGCCCCAGTGGCACCTGCAGGCCAGGAGGAGGAAATGCAGCCCTACGTACAGCCAGCATCCTCCTCCTGGCTCTGTGGCTTTTCTCCTGCCATGGGCTCTCCAGCCCTATCGGGACCCTATTTAGCAGGCGGGGCCTCCTGTTTGAGCTGGCTTCTGCGATCCAGCTTGCTCATAACCTGGGTGATGTCCACGTTGGTGGCGGCTTCTCTAGCTTTGGCTTCTTCCTCCAGCTGCCTCAAGAGGATGGGGCTGGGACTGGAGCGCAGGTGCTTGCGGACAAACGGATTGTAAGAGCTGAACAGGAAACAAATCAAAGCCAGAGGGTTACTACAATCATTATGATCATTATTAATTAACATATTTCTACCGCCTTTCAATAAAGGGGTGGAAAACCGCAAAAGGGCCTTTCAGGTATAAAACCAATCTCCTACAGATTTTAGCTCACAAAGGCTCATGTCTCTTAATACATTTGTTAGTCAGAAAGAGTACTACCGTATCAGGATTCCTATCATAGAGTCCTCTCTTTTCTCACAATGCCTACAATTAGTTTTAAGTTAATGGTGAATTATTTGTCCAACTGAATTCAGCATATGCCTCACTGTCTCGAGGCAACCCAGTCTAAAATTAAAACAAGGTGGAAAGAGCAATTAAACTCAGAAAGCCTTTTTCATGAAAACCTAGCCCAGTGGTGGCGAACCTATGGCACGGGTGCCAGAGGCGGCACTCAGAGCCCTCTCTGTGGGCACCCACGCCATCGCCCCAGTCCTAGGCCTTCAGCTGAGTTTTATACAACTTTTTCGCTTTAGGCCTCCGCCGCCATGTACAAAAAAAAAAAAAGGTTCAATCAATCAGTCAATTTCAACTTCTCACGAAAAAAAAAAGATCTTGCAAAGTTGGAATTGATTGATTGAACTTTTTAGTCCCACCCAGTCTGCCATTACTACCGCAGCCACGCCCACCCAATGGGCCACACCCAGCCAATGGGCCACACCCAGCCAATGGGCCACACCCACCCGGCACCCGACGATGCATAAGTGGGTTTTGGGTTGCAGTTTGGGCACTCGGTCTCTAAAAGGTTCGCCATCACTGACCTAGCCAGAAGATCCAGCATTTGTGTGGGTTTGCATAAAGCCCTAAACAGATGCACAAACATTCTGGCCCTCATCCAAAAATGTTGGAATTGCATCAGAATGGGAGCTTCGTCACTTTTCCATCTATCTAAATTTTACACTAATATATTATAGAAAGTTAAAGAAATGCTCTAAAATAGAAGGGAGAACGAAAATTAGCAAAACCCTTTCGGGTTAACAAAAAGTGTATTTAACACTGATGCAGATCTATAGTTGATCCCTTTTATTGCTCATTGTAAATATTTACTGCAATAAACAATCCTGCCATAAGGATTATAGATACGTATTTCAGAAAGATGCTGACCAAATAGTATTCTACAAGCTCAGTATTCTGCAAAACTATGAATAAGTATCTTTTTTGAACAGGTAGTCCTTGACTTACAACTTTCATTTAGTGACCATTCAAAGTTTACAACGGCACTGAAAAAAGTGACTTATGACTGTTTTTCTTTGCAGGCTAATTCTGCCAACTGCCAGGAGCTCGATCCTGACCGGCTCAAGGTTGACTCAGCCTTCCATCTTTCTGACGTTGGTAAAATGAGGACCCAGATTGTTGGTGGCTATATGCTGACTCTGCAAACTGCTTAGAGAGGGCTATAAAGCCCTGTGAGGTGGTATATAAGTCTAAATGCTATTGCTATTTTCATACTTACAACTTTTGCAGCATCCCCATGGTCACAAGATCAAAATTTGGATGCTTGGCAACTGGCATGTATTTATGACGGTTGCAGTGTCTGGGGATCATGTGATCATCTTTTGTGACCTTCTGACAAACAAAGTCAATGGGGAAGCCAGATTCACTCAACAAAAGCGTTACTTACTTAACAACTGCAGCGATTCATTTAACAAGTATGGCAAGAAAGGTTGTAAAGTGGGGCAAAAATCACTTAACAACTGCCTTGCTTAGCAATGGAAATTTTGGGCTCCATTGTGATTGTAAGTCAAGGACTATTTGTATTATTTTGGTATGTAACACACTTGGCAAAATATGTTCAGCAAATGTATTAATAAAATCATGATCAATATAGTTGAATCTAGCTAGAACGGTCTTTCTAAGAATTAGAAAGTTAAAGTTAAGTTCACTTAATTCTAAACTGATTTTTAATAAGATCTTTCTCATCCTATTATATGTTGAGGAATATTGGGGAAATTACCAGCTGTCATGATTTTTCACTCCTTGCATATTGGGACCGTGCAAAGTCTTTGAAAAGAATACATCCAAAATAAATGCAAAATACATGCAAAACACTCTTTTTGAACAGGCATGTCTTTTCCAGGCTTGCATGGCTCCTTCAGAAGCCTACCACGTGAAGTGGCTAGGCATGTCTATACTGTCTTATACAAATGATGCAAGTTAAATATATACATGCTATGTTTCATTGAGATGAAATCACTTCCAAAGGCTATTAGGGAAGCATCTAACTTCTAATTCTATGACATCTTAGAAATGTAAAAAGAATATGTGATTTTCTCTCTTTTACGTAATTTTCCTCTTTTTTTCCTCTTATGAAATAGTTAGATAAGTACTAAACATTAATATTTAAAAATATTTATTTATTATTAACTTTATTTGCTGCCAATCTCGCGGTTCAAAGCGACTCTGAGTGGCATGATGTCTCTGATTATCAAACTGAAAGTCAGACATTTTTTCCTCAGGGAAAGAGCACCTTAAATTGTGCAAATGTATAAATAATAATCATTTTTCTTTAGTTCCTAATTTAAACCAACAATGAAGAAGTGTAATTAAACCTCAGATGACTTGCCTTTTTTTAACTGCTTCTTGTGGTACAATTGCCTTGGACAACATTTCTTTGTATACCGGAGACTTTAAATAGCGACCATAAGAATCCTACTAGGGAAAAGAAAGGGAAACTGGTAGTTGTAGATTGCAAGCATCCTAATTAAAATCATTTCTCTATGCAGCTGTTTAGGAGCCAAAGAGGCTGGGAGTAAAGGCATCAAGAGAATATTCTCACCAAGAAGCACAAGAAAACATCTCTTCTCAATGTTAAATATGCATCCTGAAAAACCACTGGTTAAATTAAAGCTCATATGGTTAGAATTCACACACACACACAAATGAACAAAAAAAAAGAGGCAAGGAAGATGTTTCCTCAGATGCTGAAATATACAACAGGGGTTGGGAAAGACATTGTCTATTGTTGTTGGTGTTATTTTCTATTGAGCATTGAACCCAGAGCTGCTGTTGCAAAATGGGTGGCTGTGTAAATTGAGTAAAATAAAATGAGTAAATAACAGAACAATTGTGGCAAAAGAAAGGTAGTATCAATTATAATAGGTGCCTTGGATGCAGTACCGAAACAACTAGAGCACCACTTGACACCATCGGCATCAACAAAATCACCATTTCCAACTGGCTACCTATGTACAAGTACCCTACAAGCAGGTTATGTAATAATAATTGGATGAGTCATACTAATATATCAGACTTTTCCTTTGAACAACTGGAATGCTGAGCAAATCATTTTTGTTTCTTGTGCTGCTAAAACATGTAGTCATAAGATGGAAGAGAGGAATTGATAATGGTATACTAAAACGTTTGGGTAACAACTTATTATGGTTGGTCACAGTCAGCCATATGTTTGGATTTGGCATTTTTATCCACCTATTAAGTCCTTCCCAAGGACTTGGGATAGGCAGACATTGCTGTTGATGATGTGAAAGGTATAGCAGAATGTAAGCTGTTCCAAGTAAAGCTGCCTTTTGCAATTGACAGATGGTGATTTTGTCAATGTCCACAGAGGGGGAGCTGGTGTGAAGGACCACAGAGAGGTGGCAGTTTCACAGATAGGAGGGAGTACATTCCGGAAAGGGAGTGGGGAGGGACAAGTGGCAGCATACCCCAGAGGTGTAGGTAGGAGACAGAGAAAGGAGTCTGGATAGAGTTCCCTAGAATCTCCCAAGGTATATCTGCCAGGCTGACACCAGCAAGGATTTAGTCTGGCAAGATTCAGTCTGAAATATGCAAGCAAAAAAAAAACACACCAACAACCCTGAACTCTGGCTGAATTATTCCATGCTGCTCTTGGGCTTAACCTGACATGAGCTAAAGTCTGTTCTGCCCCATTCAGATCTGAACAGCCTCTAGACACTAGGTCAAGGCATTGACACCTTCAGCTGTGCCATTTGGGGTTGACAAACAGAACTGAGTATCAGCAGCATATTGATAATACCATACCTCAAACTGGTGGATGACCTTACCTAGTGGTGTCATGTAGAAGGTGAAGAGAAGAGGAGAGAGCATCAAGTCCTGAGGCACCCCACACAAGGGACTGCAGATGTTATCTCTCCTCACTGTCTCCAACTGGAACTGACTACTGTACTAAGGAAGGAGATGAACCACTGGAACCCACTGCCTCCCACTCCTAATCCCCACAACTGGTTCAGAAGGATTCTGTGGTCAATAATATTGAAAGCTGCTAAGGGATCAAGGGGTACTTGATGTACCACGCCCATCCTGGTTCTGCTGAAAGGTCAACAGCAAGTGTGACCAGCACTGTCTCTGTAATATACCCGGGCCTGAAGCCACACTGAAATGCTTCCAGAAATCTGTTTGCTCTAAGATCCTCTGAAGCTGTCATCAGCCACCTTTTCCACAACCTTTCCCAGAAAGGGGAGATTGGAAACTGGCCAATAATTCTCTAACAGGGAAGGGTCCAGAGCTGACATATTGAGGAGGGGGCATAGCATTGCCATCACCACCACCCGTCAAAGAGCCTGAAACCACCGCATGAACCCACACTGTGTTCACCTGTCCTAACAAGGAAGAGGCTGGACTAATAGATATAAGTACTTTGTCCACTTCAATGCCCAGGATATCTCAGTTCCTAAAAAACTGAATTTTCCTCTTGAAAAACTTATCTTTGTATGAAAGTCATTCACTTTATATAATGAAAATTATGTGGAATCAACCCCAAATTATCTTTCCCCACACAGGGATGTTCCAATGTGTTCTCTTTGGAGCAACAAGGAAGAGATATTTGTCTATATCTAGGTGTGTGTATACAGCAGGGACCCCTACCCCCAGTCCGTGGACCAGCACTGGGCTGTGGCATGCCAGAAATTGGGCATCGCAAACAAGCGAAGCCCCATCAGTGGGATGCAGGCAGCATACAAAACCATGCCCCCTCCGGTCCGTAGAAAAACCTCTCTTCACAGACCTAGTCTCTGGTGCCCAAAAGGTTGGGAGCTGCTGGTATACAGTATATGTGTTAATATCTTTTTTGTTTCCTTCAAAAATATCTAGGTAGCTGGAATGGAAATTCAAATGACCAACCTTTTTCATGAGCATGTAAATATGAGTCTGTGCAGCATCTAAGACATAACGTTGAGGGTTTTTGAGGCCTCTGACTGTAATGCCCATAGTGGTGCTATCGATATTAATCCACCGTCTTGCTCCTGGAGCCAAGAAGGTTCTAGAATTGACAATTATAAGGAGGAAAAATATTCAATAAAATCAGGGAGATGGGATTTTTTTCCCCTATAAATAAAATGCTTTTTTTCTTTTTTGAATATGAACTGATATTGTATCAGTTTCACATACCTCAAATATTATGTTAATAACCAATAATATACAGAATTAATATCACAGAAGATAATAATTATCACTGGAACCTTAACATATTTTCACCATCTCCAGCTGACATTTTGGTTAGGCTGTAGACTTCTTCGATGAAAAAATGTCAAATTTTATGGCTAGCTGACCAAAAATAATGTGGGATAAAAATCAAATAAATAAACAAGACAGAAGTTTAGGAAAGCGTAGAATTCTGAATAATAGCCTGATACTATTAGATTCTATTGCTGGACAGTTCTTTATTTCCATTATAGTATGATATGATTATATTCTTAGACTGTATTCTCACTGTCATTTCTTTCACTACTTAACCACAAAATACAGAAATGGAACTAAACAGAACAAGGAAAGTTACTAGAAAGATTTCAAACTAGAATATGCTCACTTGTAAATTTCTTCTGCTTTTTCTTTCGCTTTGGATTGATCTCCATACTTCAAATCTTCACAAGCTTCCCAAAATCCCAGATTCTCCCCTGAATTAAACAGGAACAAAAAACAGCATTTTATTTATTAAATTTATACATCCCTTATCTCAGAGGTCCCCAACCTTTTGGGCACCAGTGACTGCTTCCATGCGTGGTTTTGTGTGCTGCCTGCATCTCATGGATGGGGCTTTGCTTGTTTGTGTGGCCTGGTTGCTGGCATGCTGTGGCCCGGTACTAGTCCACGGACCGGGGTTGGGTCCCCTAACTCATTATTGAGAGCGACTCTGGGCAACGTTTTATGATATCAACTCATGTAAGACAATATTAAAAACAGAATAATGTAAGTCTAGAGTGACCATACTAAGACCATAACCAGACTTCTAGAACATTAGCAGAAATAATTTTTCTGACTCCGCTCTCCAAATCAAAACAATTTCCCATTACCCAAATGCTATAAACATGAGAATTATTTTCCCTGGTATATGACCATCAGATTGCACCCTATTTTATTCATGAATGTCCCAAACCAGGGGGATTTGTAAAGGACAAAAAAAAATAATGTTTTTGAGCCCTTTTACTAAACCACAAAGATTCTGTTGTGCCTTGAGTATAAAATGTCTTCCCCTCTCACAGACAAAATCTATAATAAGTCACAGCTTTATTCTTGTTATGAATAACTGCAATGTAATCTCATATCACCTTACAAATAATTAAGGGATTAAATCACTTTCTGTACGTAAAATTCCTCTCAGTTTGCTGTGGGTGACATCAGTGACTTCAGATTGTACACAACCACCTTGACATGTGGAAAAGCAGGCTCATCTTTATACCTACCACTAAATTCCTTCTTCAGGAACAGCTGGAAACTCTGACGTCCTTTGGGGTCCTTCATCAGCTCACTAAAGTTTAAGGCCCATTTCTCCACTCGTGCCTTGGTGGGGATTTCTACCCTGCCCAAAGAGAGAAAGTCTCCTTTAAATTAAGATTGATTTCATGGACCTGTCCATATGTTCATTTATAAACACAAAACATGTCCCTGAAATCAATTATTTTGAGATTTTCTATTTTGTTTTGTGTTTTGACAGAACCAAGAACTCTGCCTGTCCTTCCTTAGCAAACGTGTATTCACACGTGAGTATCTTGGCTGCTTTTGACTGTTTTTTCCTCTGACTTCTAATGTATTATGATCAGGACAAGTCAGGATATTACAAGTAAGTCAAAGTGTCCCTCAGGTCAAGATTGACTCATAATTAACTACAGGGACACGGAAATATTATTTTCTTACCAGAAATGTTGTTTTCTTAGCAAAAAAACAAAAATGGTTTACCATTTTCTGACAACACTTTTCCAGCTTCCCAGTCTAATCTATATTCTGTGATAGTACCCAAGCAGTATCTAGACCAGGGGTCCTCAACCTTGGCCACTTTAAGACTTGTGGACTTCAACTCCCAGAATTCCTCAGCCAGCAAAGCTGGCTGAGGAATTCTGGGAGTTGAAGTCCACAAGTGTTAAAGTGGCCAAGGTTGAGGACCCCTGATCTAGACCCATCCTTGCTTAACTTTTTCAAGCTAGCCAAAATTGGCTAGGTATTGCTATCTAAAATAGCCAGTGATTATGCATTGTAATATTTATTAGGATCATTATAGAAACGTATTTCCCTTTAATTCAGGCAATTCCATCACTTTGTTATTTTTTATTTTTCTGCTATAGATACATTTTGGAGAATGCACACTGCAGACAGACGGAGTAAATTTTGTGGTGGCATCTGCAATGTGTATTGATAAGATCTTCCCACAGATAAGCATTAAAATCACCCATTCTAAATTATAATGTAAATTTAGAGTTTACATTTGTCAGAATGTTCATTCAACTAAGAAAGGTCTCCTCTCCTTTCCAAAAGTGCAGCCACAGTTGACAAAATAGAAAAATAGAAAGAAAGATTTCACCAGGTTTCAAAAAGTGGTAACTGACTACTTCTGTAGCACCCACTATTCTATTTTGCCCATTTTTTTCTTACCTTCTGCTTGCTAAAGCAGGCAGAAAAATAGGAAACCATGATATGAAAGAAAGAAGCACAACAGCGCCTTCTTGCTTTGCCTTAACACTAGAGCAGGAATGTCTCTAGATAAAATAATGTAACTTCTCCTGCCTCCACCTTAGTAAGCAAGAAGAGGTAAAAGGTAAAGGTTTCCCTGTCCAGTTGTGTCCAACTCTAGGGCACGGTGCTCATCTCTGTTTCTTGAGCAAGGGAGCCAGCGTTGTCCGAAAACAATTTCCATGGTCATGTGGCTATAGGCCAAAGGCACACACAGAAATTTATAAACCGAAAGTTGCTCTGATACGAAAATCGGACTGGAGGACGTCCAGAGTTCCTTCCAACTCTATTATTCTGCTCTGTTATTCTTTCTATGATTGCGTGTATCCATCCCATCAAGCCCAAAGAAAGTCTGGAATGTTATAGGATCTCCTGCCATGAGCTGGGGGTTGAACTAGAAGACCTCCAAGATCTCTTCCAACCCTATTATTCTATGTTTTAAATCTAAAAGGAAAAATGGAAAAGTAAGTAAGAGTCGATGTAAGTTAAGAGCTGAAATAAATGCAATACGTACAGTTTTGCATTGAGTTCCCAAAAATCCACATCATCAGAAACCCAAGGGTTGCTGGGCAGGCATCCTGAGATTATAGGGTCATTGGAGCAGAACTGTTCACAGTACTTCACTATTCTGAAAATATTAGAGACAAAAAATGGGGAAACATCTATATGCAGTTATTAGTCCAGAATAAATAGATGAAATTAACGTTATTCACATTTCCAATGACATCCCAGCCAGGAGAACATTTCACTGCTGGTATGATGCAATCAGTAACACTTGCAGTTTCCTGGCTAGCGTCTTATTGATGTGCCAGTGATATCATTCTTGTATTGTTGGGGATTAAGAGATATGGGGGTCTTTGAGAAACTGGCTTCCAAAGTCTAATTATACTACACTTGAGTCTCTGCAGGTAACAGCACTTAGCCAACTTTATCTGGACTCAGAAGTTAGACATGTTTGGGCCTGATTGCTATTTGGATGGGAGACATTTCAAAATACTACATGGCACATTCTTAGACTGTCCCATTTCGGAAGGATACAATGGAGAAGATGTTTGAATGCATGCCCAAACACCAAAACACCAGCCATAGAAAGTTTGCATGATATAAAGAAAGAATCTATCTTAATGTTATGCCAGATACAGCACTTCTCTATGTGGAGGATTTTTGTTTTGGCATGGGAAGTAATTCAAACATGGGATCCCTCACTTGCTGTTTAAGACTAAGAACTGATTACATCAAATAATTTTCCTAAACTAGCTCATTGAGGATTGAACCGTTGACATTGGGTTTCTATTGGCAGGTGCTTGGGCTGGCAAATATTCAAGTCCACCTTACATTTTTAACACAGTCAAAAACCTGGCTAGAATTCTGACATTGATATGCTGTAGTTCAGGAATCCAGCTGGGATTTTCTGTAAATCCTCCAAAGTACCTTCCAGCAATACTTGCTTATAGAAGCAACAAACACTAGCTTTGGTTTTTCTGCAACTCTATGGTAATTTCCTGCTTATAGATGTTTCAGGTGAAAATGATTATATCCACAGTAGTGCATATAAACTGCTTATGCACATAACTCCTGGGGCTGCAAGGTTACATCATAAAGAAGAAATAACAATTAGTTTAGGAAATAATATGCAATAAATTCAGAATAGCTCCTCTAATTATGTCCCTTTCAGCTTACCACAATTCAGAAACAGGATGAAATATGCTGAAGTTACAGGAAAAAAATAAACAGTACAAGTATTTTCAAGTATTGCTCCTAGCACAATTAATCAGGAAAATAAATTTACAGATTTTTTAAAAATGCCCAACATTTGATGTGCTAAAAGAATAACAGTTGTGGCTTTAAACAAATGTATGATTCAGAATCTTAGATCATAGCAGAAATGAGAAATTGATCACTAAAGAAAATTCATATACAGATATACAGTAACAAGCAAACACAACCCTTTTGAACAGAGCAACATGCAAACTTGGTTCTTTTAAAACAGAAAATTCACAAGCACACTTGGAAAGTATCCTAATTGCTCTAAAATGGATTATTATCGCATAATACTATTCAATAACTATTTCTTTCAACAGGTAGGTGGGTTGGAAATAATGCTAGTTATGAGTCAGACGAACAAGCAAATAATGGAAACCTCAGTAGTGTGCATGGTTTATTTTTCAGTGATAGGTTTAGTTAAGATTCCTCCCTCTCAGAAAAAAGGATTTTGTATGTCCATTAAGCGACGCTGCCCTGGAAAAAATAGAAAACTTCAACCCCATCTCAATCTTTTTAAGTAGCTTTCTGATGTACTCTCCACAAACTGGCAATTGAAAGTATGGAACTGAAATTCCTGTTCAGAAGACTAATAAGACTGTCCTGCTTATTAAAAATCCCAAGGAGCATCTCACAAGGTTACAACTATACATATATGGATGCTGGGAAACGTGGGAAGGAAACCTGTGAAGAGAAGGAGGGATGTATACATTTGTGTCAAAGATGCACCACTTAGGAGCTTGTTTGGATCAAGATGTCCAAAACATGACTTGCGCCCTCGTCATCTCACAATTACATTGCTGCCACACATTTTAGATGGGATTACCCTCAGTACTGATTCAGACACAGTGTAACTGGTCCTGACTGTTAACAAAGGAGAGAGTCCCAAAGATGGTTTTTCAAAAGGCAACTGGACTTTCTTGTTTTTTCTTCTCACCCAAGAAGCATCCTCAGTTCCGACTGAATGCTGGGGAATGGAAGGATTTATATTCCTTGCAGTTATCTGGCTGTTAGCACTATGAAGGTGGATCATTAGCTCTCTGAGAGTCATGGAGAGAGATTTAGCAATTGACAGCTATGCTGAAGTTGCTACATTAGTTAACTATAAACCTCCAGATCCAATTCAGTCCCAATTTTAAAGTCTTACCTGTGCGCTTCTTTCTGAGAGTGCCTACTTCAAGTCCCCAACTGAGTGAGGTCAAAGGGGTGGAGCCCAAAGATGTGCTTTCTTGGTTGAGGCCCCCATGCTATAGATCACCTTGCCTCCTGAAGTAAGGACAGCCCACCCATCCTCAGGTTAAGTTTCACAAAACAACAAAACCCTTCATATTGTGGTAGGCTCTGGGAAAAACAGTAGACCTGGATGCTTTTATTTTTATGTATTGGTTTCTAATATTGATTTTAGTATACAATCCATCCTAAATCATGAGAAGTTGTATAAAAGCTGTATACAAAGGATGAGATGGATGGATGATGAGACAGGGTATGTGTGAGGTAAGAATATAAAGTGTGTTTGTAACTAAGGTACATAGAGAGGGGGAGAGAAGGAGGAAAAGACTATCTGAAAATGAAAGATGGAAACTTATGCAGTTCTCACTCAGTTATGTCCACTAATACTAGTGTGGCTTTCTTAAACAGTCATGTTTCATTACTGAATACATACATCTGTTCCCTTGGGGATTCTTAAAAAAAAACCCTCCTCTGGATGAAGCTTAAGTATCATACCAAACCTTTTCTAGCTTTAAAAAGACAATCTCTGGCTAAATCTCTTGATGAAAAGTATTGGTTAAAAGACATACAAGACATACCCTCCCAGAGAGACAGATGACTTTGTTGCAGTCTTCATGAGAGCCAGTTGGAGATACATGATCTGTAAAGACAGATATATTGTATATGTTAGCAGAACAGCAGATAATTGACTTCCAAGCTTTGTTCACTAAGAAATGAATTCTTGCAAGAGTGGGTCACACAATGTTATTGTTTCATAAGATTGTGTGACCCACTTTTGCAAGAAATGGATACCCAGCAGGCAGATTCCTGAATTGTAGTTTAAGTCTTGATGAAGTTTATTGTGTAGGAAAGAAGAGAGATAAACTAAAGAGACATTTTATTACAAGCTCGTTTCCATCACCTGCCATCCCTGGCCCATATTATTCCTACAAAGACTACCACTTAAAAGACAGAGAAACAAGAATGGCCATAAAATCAATGCGAGGATTAGACAAGTGTATAGTCTACTTGGAGGCACAACAAAAGGATTAACTTAAGCCTCGCATGTGGAGGGACCAATTCAAAAGACACTTCGGTTTTGAAATGATTGCAATGACAAATAATAGCGCACTGATGTGAGTGAGAAGGAAGGATGGGGCTTAGGTAAACATTCAGCCCTCAGCCATTTTGGTATATTACATAGATCAAGTGACTTTGTGTAAATGATATAGCATAAATGCACTCAATGTAATCATTTGAAAATTGGGGGTCAAAAGAAAAAAAGTCAAAGGATTAGTTTTACTGTCAGGCAGAATACAGGCAGTCCTCAACTTACAACCATCTGTTTTGTGATCATTTGAAATTACAATGGCACTGAAAAAAGTGACTTATGAGCGTT